TAGCTTTTTAAATGGTGTCTCAAGAACGTTCACACGTTTCCACGGCTAAACTACGTTGTCGGTTATCTTCGCTTTCCCTTCCAAATAAAGAAATCAATGATGATGGATCTCTCGAGGGATTAACAGCAACACTGACACTGTTCATCACTACCTGCAGTCTAATCGTCCCGGGATGCTTTTCGTGGCGGAGATAAAAATCTCAGATTCTGCACCGATGAATTATCTTAGTTTTGCAAATTACGAGGTGCACTCCGTGAAATCTGAGGAAGAATGGGGGATATTTGGTTTTTGTCCGCAGCAGTCTCTTCTGTTCCAGAGGAATCGGATTGGAAGGACAAAGGATCCCCCAAATTTGTTTGCTGCATTTATCGCTCTCCCTCGAATCAAACTCCTTGGGGTGTTTCAAATTCGATCCTCATCACTGGGATCTCGGAAAAGTACGGTACGAAGTCGCTTAAATGGGAGCAAAATTGGGTATTTAGGTAACTAACAAAGTGCCGCTTAGAAGGTTTCAAAATTCGTAAAGTACATCCGAAGAGAGACAGAAAAAAATTTTTTCCCAAATGGTCTTGATTTCCTGATTTCAGTTGTAGTGGGATTTTTTTAAGATATTGCAACTTTTTCTTATAGACGTCATATTGGATTTTTTCGCAGCGGAAAGAAAATGTATATGTCACAGGCTAGCATTGCCAAAGCTTGATTATTCCAGAAAGTTCCTAGGTAGCTCTTGAAACTATCAGAGGGTCATATGTTTCGTATAACAGAGGTATTATGTAAGGCACCTAAAAAACGTAAAAAAAATCGACCTGAGATGGCATTATTGGAGGTCTAAGCTGCAGGTTGTATACTATAGCTGGAAGGAAACGGCAGTGCCTAGGGAGGATTTGCGTACTAATAATCTGTGTTGATGATTCCGTTAGTTTCTTGTCTCAAGTTTTTTTATACCGAAGCAGCAGCGCAGGCAAAAGCCTAAATGCCATAACATGCTATGAGGATCCCAAAGAAATTTTGTTAACCCGATTTTTGAACTGCCTAAGGTTAATAGAACTGGGAAAAGCTTCCTCTTGTAGATTGTTCCACAATCTCGACACCCTCGGGACGAAGGAGCAGTCGTGTCAGTCAGTTCTGCCTTGACGAAGTTTGTCACGGTTAGGATGGGAGGCCAAAGTCAGGCGGGTCTGTCTGACAGGCACATCGTGCGGCGGCATCATGGAGGAGAGCTTTGAGCAGCAAATCTTGTTGGTGTAGTGGTAGAAGAGAGCTAGATCGCCGACGGTGCGCCGGTGCGAAAGGGTCCCGAGACTGTCTGTTGGAGAAAAGTCATCGATAAGTCGGACAGCCCTCCTCTGGACAGCATCGAGCGTAGAAAATGTAGTCGGGGCGGCCGCACCCCAAACGTGTGAGCAATACTCGAGGCTAGGCCTTACCTGGGACTTGTATAGAGTGAGAAAGTCATGCGGATAACGGTACTTATTAGCCCTAAACGAATAGCCTAGCTCTTTCCAGCAGCTGCCGCTATTGACGAGATGAACGACTCTTTGGCAGAACTCGGCTGTCCATCGAAATCGGATGAGCGCTAGGATCCTTTTTGTTCGTCAAGGTACAGTACTGTGTCTTGGAAGCATTAAATTGTAAAAGATTGTTCCGTACCCAAGCAGCGATAACCTCCAGGTCTCTCGTCAGAGAGGAAGTCGTCTTCTTTTTTCTAGCTCCGCGGCAGAGATTGGCTTGTCGCATGTAGAGTACTGTCATCAGCAAAGCTGTGGATTCAGTTGATTGTACAGGAAAGAAGATCGTTGATATGTAAGATGAACAGTGTCGGAGTCAATACCGATCCCAGGGGAACACCTGCGTTAATGTTGTGAAATGAAGAGGGAACCCGACAATTACAACAGATATCTTGCGGCGAGAGAGAAAGTCAGCCACCCATCTGTAAAGCTTCACTGGGCGGCCATAGGATGAAATTTTGCATAAGAGGGCAACGTGCCACAGCTGATCGACTGCTTTCGTCATAAGAAGAGCAACGACATGAGCCTCGCCATAAGACTGGATGAGCTTACTCTACAATTGCGCGACGTAAGCTAGGAGATCGCTGGTGCCAAAAACCATAATGCCTGACAGTAATAAAGCTGTGATATTCAAGGTAGTCCAGACGCTCGCGATTTATGCACCTCTCCTTCTCCTTACTTATTACAGAAGGCAGAGTTGTAGGCCTGTAGTTATAAGGTTCGGTCTTGCATAATTTTTTTGGGATGGGTTGGACATGAGCAAATTTCCAGTTTCCTGGGAAGATGCCGGATTCATAAGCTATCTGGAAGAGACGCGAAAGAACTGGAGCAAGCTCCACTGCGCACCTCTTCATTATAATGGCAGGATGAAATCCGGACCAGAACCTTTGTTGATATTGAGCGACAAGAGCACCTGTCTTACGGTCTTATTCCTGATTGTTACTTCCCGCAGAGTGCAGGGATCCCTTTGAATCGATGGCACTTGAGCGTTGGGGGGGACGTCCACGGTGGAGTTGGTAGCATAGATCTGGACAAGCACTTCCGCCTTAGCCTTTGAGTCGGTTGCAATCGTTCCAGCCTGACACGTATGAGGTGGGAGGCTACCCTGTGAGAAGTCCCTTTTCAATTACTCTGTGCCTAACTTTTATATAGTGCTGGTCTTTGGCATTGAGAACCAGTTCGTTATATTTGTTTCTGGCTTGTCTTTTCTCTACAGCAGGGTTTTGTAAGAAGGTTCTGTGTGCCTTAATCTTCTGGTGTTGAGCAGTGTGACACAATTTGTTGAACAATCCGTTGGACCCTGGTGTAAGCACTTTAACTGTATGAGGGATGTATTCATCCATCCCGACGTGGATAATTTCGGTTATCGAAGAAAACATAGCGGACGTATCCGCGTCAGCTAAACAAACATCTCTCCAAGGCCTGGTCGAGCTTCTGCTGTCACAGCGGGTTTTGAGCAAAGCCTAACCTCCACAGCACCGTGGTCTGAGTTACCTAGGGGGGAGAGGACAGCAGTGCTGTAAAAGAGATCCACCAGCTGGGTCAGCCCTTGAGTAAGAGCGAACGCTTCAATTGCACGACCTGCTGCATCGATCTTTTTTGAGCCCAACCAAAGCTCATTATGGGCATTGAAATCACCGAGAAGGACTACTTCTGAAGCGGGGTGATTGATGTTCAGAAAGTCGATCTTGATGGCGAGGTATTCCAGTAGGTCATCCCAATCATGGTCCGAGTAGCCCGGATACAACAACTTCCTGAACAAGCATTTGCCATAACCCCGCTCAGAAGGGGGATCGCTTACGTGAGATGAATTCAAAGCTAGACGTTAGCTGCGCATCCACTTTTTCTTATTCATTCTGGAAATGACATATGCAAATTTGCTGAATTTCAAAAATGAGAAAAATAAGAAAAGAAAATCTCTGGTTGGTGAAGTAATTAGCTTTATGTGGCATCATATATCTTACACTTACATACTGCCATATATTGCAAATATATTCACTGTACACTGTCGAATTACAAGTCATATACATGCTAACAGTAATTACACACAACGCGGGCGCGAATCACGATTCTGACTAGGTACGCACGATGGTCGTAGAAGGGTAAGACGCTTGTGTGGAGAACGGCTGTTGAGAAGCATGTACACAGGACTGTTGGATTAATGGTTTGGGGGCTATTGCCTCTGGTAGCCGATCACCTTTGTTCAAGGCAATATTACTGCTGAGCGTTATGTTGATGATGTTCTACAAGAGGGCCGCCCACACGTCCTTTTTCAGCAAGACAACGCACGTCCCCATATTGCTCGTCGTACTACGGACTTTCTTCAAGAAGCAGGAGTTAATGTTTTGCCGTGACTACCCTGTTCACCGGATTCAAATCCCATCGAACATGTGTGGGATATGATGGGGAGGAGACTATCCACTTTGCACCATCCTCAACAGGTAAACTGAATTGAATAGTTCATTACTGTTGAATAAATTAGAGTACTCAATCTAATCGATATAATAAAATTACATAGTTTTTAAAAATTTCTAGTTGACATAATTAAATCTGAATTGGCCTGCTCAGTGCATGGTGATCACTCTTGACAATACTGTGCTGAGCATAGGTTAATTTTCTTCAATGCGTTTTTCTTCACTTTGTTACGTGTTCAAAGAGGTGATTCAGAGATTAGCACAAGCAAAATTAGAGCTACATGCGTCGATGGCCTTTTCTTATCTATGTTGAATGGTGAAAATGATATACAGGGTGACTTTGAAGTTGAGTCATTAATTTTCAGATAATGATTGTAGAAGGAAGATAAACCAAAATATGTGTGTAAAAATAAAAAAAAAATAAAAAAAAAATTTACCTTGTTTTATAAAGTATCCTCCCGACAAGTATTTCAGTGCGGTCCTGTATTTGATCGTGAGGTCTTGGAGCACCGGCATGCCGTCCCCTGTGAGGTCTTAAGTCACCTGATTCACGAGCCCGTTGTACTACATTAACAAAGGCACGAGGGGTTGGTTGCACTCGATTGGGTAACCGATCCGCATAAACATGTGCCATTTTTTATTTCGTTTGAGCCACACAACAGACACCACTATTCACTCACGCGTTACCGACTGACACTGACTGTATTCAACTGAATAAAATAATTGTAAAAACACCGTTCCAAATTCTTTCGCTTTTTTGTTTCCGATGCGATGAACCGATAAGGCGGATTATATGCGTTGTTGCCAAACACGAGCACATAATATTATTATTGAGACAGGGCGGTACTCAAACTTCCAAAGGGCTATAACTTTGTTACTTTAATTTTACCAGAAAAATGGTAAAGGAAAAAAACATTTCTTTTGATCAGATCTACTCACTGTTAAAATAAATGACTCAACTTCGAAGTCACCCTGTATGTGTTTTTAACTGGAGCAATTACACACAAAATAAATCGGCACGCCTCGTCTGCGTCACTACGGGAGAAATAAAAATTAGCATTTTAATGCAGTCCTTCCTCTATTTATATTCCATGAAACGGAATTCGCATTGCAATGCCTGCTCCTGATGTTCAGTCAATTTCTTTTTTGCTATCAATATAATCTTAAAAAAGCAAAGGATTTCTTAAACCCCACGGCAGTGGGCCAAAGCGCGTCAGACGAGATCCGTCGTCGTCACGTTTTTTGGTCAAATTGCAAGAAAATCCATGATTGGAGCATGTAAAAATTTACGTTAGCAAAGCCATGCCTCGAGCTTGGCGTTTCTTTGCTTTTGCTTAATTGAACACGTGCATGTTCAGAAATGTCTCGATTAACGTTACTGACCACGTTTGTTGTGACGTAAAACAGTCACAAGTGTGACATTGACCAGAGACTATTTTTGGAAGACGTTTCATCCCCCAGATATTTAACTTGTTTCAATACATAGTAACGTATTTTATCACAGATACATAGAAAATACATTGTCATTATCATTAATCTGTTTTTTTGTAAAAGGCCATCGTGGTGGTCGAAACGTCAGCAAAACGTAGTTTCAGCATATATGTGGGTTCATTTGGTCAGAGAAATATGGAGTTCAATTAAACTACTACTACAATTAAACTAGTCAGAAAAATAGATACCGTTACCCTCAGAAACAATTATGTTTTGTTCGATTAGGAACACAATTAGGACATGCTCATATCGATCTATAGAGGACTTATTTTCCCACAACAAAATACTCTGGAGTCAACTTGCAATACTTTGATGGTCGATCCAAATTCCATAAAATATATAAGTTCTTAGATTAAATTAATAATGAATGAATGATTGAACGAATCGTGAAATTAGAGGCATTCCGGCCACCATAAGGAGCCAGCGCATAGGCCGCTTAAACAGGCCCTTATGCGCCTATACATTCCTTAGATCTCAAGCCTCGACTTTCTAGTGAAGTTGAGTATGGCCTTGAGTCCAAGCACCTTGACGTCCTGAGGGTCCCAAGTAATGGACTCCAGAATAGTCTGCCTGTAGTAGCTGCGAGCCTCACAGCGACACAGAACGTGCACCAAAGAAGCGCCTCTACCCCGCAGCGCTCACACAAGGGATTCTCAGCCACCCCCATCACGTGCAGGTGGAGCCTTAACGTGTTATAGTCAGACAACAGTTCCACAAGCAAGCTTAGGTTGGCTCTATCCAAAAATAAGCAGAAACGTCCATCCTTAGCGCTGGGCCCTACAATGAGTTCCCGTGCCAGACGGAGATGTCTGGAGATACTTCTGAGAGTAATATATTGCAATCCACGTCTCCATTTTCCTCCTAACTCTTTGCGCGGGTACTCCTAAAGCTGGCTCAGGACCAACGAGCTTGCTGGCTGATCCTGTCTTTGCCAGAGCGCCCGCCGTCTCGTTACCCCTTATGCCAACATTCCCCGGTACCCACATTAACGATACCAGATGCCTCGCTGCAAGACAATCCAGAGCCTCCCTGCATTGCAATACAAGGCTCTAAGTAATCTTACAGGTACTCAGTGCCTTCATTGCAGCCTTTCTGTCGGATAAGATTGTTATTCTTCCACCATCCTCCAGAATGCGAGGTACACAAGCAAGAATTTCAAAGATTTCCGCCTCGAAAATAGTGGTGTATCCACCAAGAGGCAGATATAGCTTAGTTCTACTCCCAGAGACCCCCCGACGCAAGAGCCCTCTTCTGTGACCGAGCTATCCCTGTACCAGACCTGTTCACTTACTCCTGAGGGTCTCCGGCAAGGAAGCCCAACTGCCCTGAATCCACAATCGATGAGCAATTACTCTCTCTTCACCGCGGATCACTAGATCCAACGGTGGGAGATCCAGTAGAGCTTCCAATGGTACCAATGGCGTTGTTCACTTGTAATGCGAATACAGGCCAAACGCTGAATTTTATAGAGTTTGGCCTTAGTTGTGTCAGTTCCAATGCAAGGCCACCAGACCAGGCAACCCTACAAGAGAGATGGACATACTATCGTCGTGTAGAGCCAGTGTGGCCACTTTGGGTTCAAGCCCCCACCGTACACCGTCTACAGGTCCACATTGCGAGCGTTGTTAACCCTGTATTCAACATGCTCTCCTCAGTTCAGTGTTGCTGTCCAGGATAATTCCTAGATATTTTACTGATTGAGATAGAGCTAATCTAGTCCCAAAGAAGGTCTGCAAGACAAGCCCGTCAAGCTTTCTTCTCCTAGTGGATGCTATCAGCTCGGTCTTTCCAGCATTGACAGAAAGATCGACTTCCCTACACCACGATTTCACAGAGCGCCCTGCATAATTTCAGAGACTGTTATACAAAAACGAACCCTAACTACTATGCTTAAATCATCAGCATAGACTTGCACGTAGACACCCACACTATTGAACCTAACGAGGAGTTCGTTCACCACGAGGTTCCACAGTAGGCGTGACAGAACTCCACCCCGTGGGCAGCCTAAAGCTACGCTGACGCTGCAGCTCACGTCATTCAGCATAGCTGATGCTATCCGACCCTCCAGAGTAGATAGGATCCAATCTACTCGGATTGATCCAACTGCGTGACTAACCAAAGCATGTCTGATAGAGTCGGTTGTAGTACAATTAAAGGAAACTTCATTGCCCAAAAAGGCCACGAGTGCCACTTCTCGCTGATCTAGAGTCTTCTACAGCCTGCCGACCAGATTGTGTAAAGCCAGATTTCTCAGCTTGGTATGCAAACTGATTGGAAAAAATGACACACGTTTCCAGCGGGCCATCCCTCAAGAATCTATCAACTATCCTTTCCAATGTCTTAGCCACAAAAGATGAAAGGGTAATCGGACGAAAATCCTTCGGGACAGTGTATCTGACTCTGCCTGTTATAGGAATAAATGCCACTTTAGCCTGCCGCCAGCTTCTAGATGTGAAGCCCGTGGCCACACATGCCGTCCAGACTTGGACCTTTGTGAGGAGCAAACGGATCTATTGCCCATACCATCCTTTCGAAGGTGACAATCTACCTTGCCTGCGCAACTGCATGCACTATGATTGATCGCGCCACTGTGGAACCGGAAAAGTGTGCATCCATCAGCAGCTTGAAAGTACCTTCCTCGGAAGTAGTATTACCTCCCGAGAGATAATACACAGACCCCAATCTTGCTTTAGTGCCTTTGCATAGGACACTGTGTATTCTAGCAGTAGCAGGAATGTCATTTATGTACTGACAGGAGTTCCTCCATGATTCTCTGGAGGCGCTTCTAATCTTATTTTTATATTCCTGCAACGCCTTCTTGTAGTATTCCCATTGGAGAGAACTTCTCCTTTGCTTAACTCTGCTAAGAAGTTTGTGCACAGTTCGTTTTCTATCCTCTAGCTCCATGGACCAAAAGGTTGTCTTTCCCTTACCTTGAACTTTGCGTAACGGGCAGTTTTCCTTATACTAAGCCGCAAGTCTCTGCTCAGAGGCTGTACGGCTTCTTCTATATCAGAGCCCCTACAAAGTCTGTATGGGACTCCTACAAGCTTACTGTCAAGGTCTGCCCTAAAGCACCCCCAATTAGTATGGCTAGGATTCCGAGCATATTTATCTGGAATCTCTCCATCAGTTTACTTACCATGGGTGTTGAGAGGCCCCTGTTACACCTTATCGAATGCCGGTATATGTGCCCTATTCGGGCGTACGGAGAGCCTGGTCTACTACCACAGCTGCCGTCGGTCCGCACTGGTCCGACCTCTGGTTTGGAGCCAGGCCAGCTCCAGCAGGTGTCGCCCCGACGAATGGCTCTTTCTTGTTGCTCAGGAGTGTAAACACCCCCGAGCTTCCACCGCCTATTGCCGTGGCCCTCAATAACCTTCCAGCTTATGGAATCCACTGAGAAAACAAGTCGGACCCCTTTGGGTTCCTCCTTCCTCTCCAGTAGCCTTCACGCACTGGGAAAAGTCCCAGGTTGGGACCGGGCAACCGGGTCATCACGCGGTGGCAGACAGGGTCGCTAAAGCTCATCGTAATGAGCCTTGCACCTTCGCAAGGCCGCCGATCCCCCACGTGGGTCTCCAACCATGCCCTAAGGACTCTTCCTCGTAGATAAAGATGGCTGCCTCTCTAGAGAGGTAGCAGTCAATGACCCTAGGAAAAGCCCCCTCATCTGGTAGCCCATCTATATCAGCACACTGACCGTCTCCTGGATCTGCTGCATCGCTTGGGACGCACGCGCATAGCTAATATAAACGCGCGTCGCAGTACGCAGTTGCGCGAAAATGCGCCCTTCGGTGTCCCACCGTAAGAATTGTCATAAATACTTTAAGCTTTTGCACAAGCTTGCTTTTATATTTCAGATTTACTTCTGCATCGTTTCCAGCTGGTAGAGTAACGTATGTCTTGAAAGTTTTGGCACAAAACTCATTGGCTTTAATTTAAACAAACACAAAATAATATCAAGTTGCCTTTTGAAAACAAAAGTTTGCTTACTTACTTTACTGTCAGTTGACATTTATTTATTTTGAAGCTTTCGATTTAAGATGTATAAATTAGAAATAAGAAAAAGTATCTACAAGTTGGTTGGGCAAGTACCCAAAGCTCAAATCTGTCGAATATTGTCTGAATCTCTCAAGAAGTGGAAGATCACGTGCATTTACTGTACAGAGGTCAGACAGGTTGGTGAGAAGAGTAAAAAATCAGGTTGGAATGTCAAAAAGGAGACTGGCTCGTCAATACAGATCTTCTAAGAGTACGATATCGTTGGAATTGAGAAGGAATGGTCTTAAATATCGAAAGAGACTTAAGTGCTCTAAATACTCTCAAGCGCAACTCCTTCGATTGCCAAGATGCTGTCATCAACTGAGGCGGGTACACTTTGCCAATAGATAAATAATTATTTAAGATGACGAAAAGTATTCCACTTTGACTAATTCTGAAATGAAGGGAAGCGATGGATTTTATACATAATGCCCTGAGAACGTTAGATAAAAACATAAAGCGAAATTTGCAGATAAAATCATTGTCTGGTGCGCAATTTCTAACGATGGTGTGTCTGGGACCTTTTGTGGGAAGAGTGAGGGGTAAAGCTCTGGATAGTCAGAGCGATATTGATAACCGCATACCATATCATGTCTTGGCCAGACCTAGCATCATGCCATTACTCAAGAGATACCCAAAACTGGCTTCGACAACAAAACATACGTTTTGTTCCCAAAAACGGTAATCCTCCAAAACAGGCTCGCCCAGCATAGGACTTCTGAGCCTTACTGTCTAGGAAGATTTGTCATGGAGGCTGGGAAGCCTAAGATAAAGAACAATTAAGATTAAAAAGGAATGTTTTTTCCTATAACATTTTTCTGGTAAAATTAAAGTAACAAAGTTATAGCCCTTTAGAAGTTTAATAATATTATGTGCTCGTGTTTGGCAACAAGCCCAACTCTACGTCGAGCAAAACGGAAATCAATTCGAACAGTTTTTGTGACATGCTTTTGTGCGCACAGGTCCGCACTGAAATACTTGTCGGGAGGATACTTTATAAAACAAGGTAACATTTTTTAAAAATTTTTTTTATTTTTACACACATATTTTGGTTTATCTTCCTTCTACAATTATTATCTGAAAATTAATGACTCAACTTCAAAGTATGTATACTCAGTGACATTAGAAAAGTTACACCCAGAAAAAAATAATTTCTTCAATTTGTTTTTTTTTGGCAACATAATCACTATATTTAAAAAATGCTGTGGTTACAATGTCAACGTTATATCTTTTTTCCTTTACCTTTGTTACTTACTAGCGTTAAGCATAACAAAATGCCTTGAGTTCGAAGACGTCCAAATTATCACCATTCTAGCGGCTTTGAGAGGGGTAGAATTATTGCCTATCGGGATGTTGGTTTGTCCTATCGCGAAATTGGTCGACGTGTTCATTGTACTTCAATGACGGTAATGTGTCGTGTTATAGCCCTTTAGAAGTTTGAGTACCGCCCTGTCTCAATAATAATATTATGTGCTCGTGTTTGGCAACAAGCCCAACTCTGCGTCGAGCAAAACAGAAATCATTTGGAACAGTTTTTGTTACATGCTTTTGGGCGCACAGGTTCGCACTGAAATACTTGTCGGGAGGATACTTTATAAAACAAGGTAACATTTTTTAATTTTTTTTTTATTTTTACACACATATTTTGGTTTATCTTCCTTCTACAATTAATATCTGAAAATTAATGACTCAACTTCAAAGTATGTATACTCAGTGACATTAGAAAAATTACACAGAGAAAAAAATAATTTCTTCAATTTGTTTTTTTTTTTGGCAACATAATCACTATATTTAAAACATGCTGTGGTTACAATGTCAACGTTATATCTTTTTTCCTTTACCTTTGTTACTTACTAGCGTTAAGCTTAACAAAATGCCTTGAGTTCGAAGACGTCCAAATTATCACCATCTTAGCGGCTTTGAGAGGGTAGAATTATTGTCTATCGGGATGTTGGTTAGTCCTATCGCGAAATTGGCCGACGTGTTAATTGTACTTCAATGACGGTAATGTGTCGTGTGTGAATAGAAGAAGGTAGAGGAACACGAAGAAGGCCAACTGGTCCACCAAGGCGTACCGCGGAGCGTCAAGATAGACCCTTCAGACAACTAGCCCTACGAGACCATTTTGCTACTACACGTCAGAAAGAATGGTTGAACAAAACACCGGATACAATAGAGAAAGACACAATGAGAACCTAATAAACAGAAACGGTAGAGAACAAAACCGTAACGGATCAATAATAGTACAAGCGCAAGTGCACAATAACGCTTCAAACACAGAAGCACCATTCAACAGACCTAAGACGCCTACTAGTGCCCTTCACAGTAATAACACTAAAGAACAAGTAGATGAAATCGTTGAAAACATAAAATACCTTAAACTTGAATCCCTAAGTAAAATTAAACAAATAATACTCAATGATACAGACCAAACTGACAACGAATTTTACTAAAAAAGTGAGTGCATGTAATACGTGCGGGGTTGTACAAACTCAGGTGCACATATAACAGACACAACTGCAAAATGAATAGCAAAGGCACTTTAATAACTTTACAGTGGAATCTAAGGAGTTACAGTAGTAACAGCGTGAATTTAATACAATTTTCAGAAACGCATAACCCAGACATATTTTTTTTAAATGAGACATGGCTAAAGAAACAACAGAGTTCGCATTTTAGAGGCTATCAATGCATTAGAGCAGACCGAAAAGATGGGAAAGGTGGAGTAGCTACATTTATAAAAAATAATATCTGTTATCAAAACATAAGACTCCCTAACACATTTAACACTGGAAACCTTCAAGGTATTGTCACTAAAGTCCATAATATTAATTGGGTTAATGTATATAGCCCTCCAAGCAACAAAATCACAATAAAAGGGTTTAATGAACTATTGAAATCGCTCATGGGCGAAGTGGTGCTGGTGGGGGACTTCAATGCCCATCACCCAGCATGGGATAGCATTAAGAAACACTCAATTTAAACAATTTTCCTCCAACATAAACAGAAATACGAATCTCTCTTTCATATGGAACACATTCAAAAAATTCAGTGAAAATAAAAACTCATCTCCTAACCCACAAATTGCCGCAAATATCATAAAAAATCTGACTGTATGTAACATTCCAGCTGAATTCTCATTCCATTGTTCAAAAAATGAAAACCATCAATTCTACTTCAGAGATTTATGTATCGCTTTGGAAAACCGCAAAGATAGCGCTCCAGGAATGAACAATATCTCATATTTATGGCTCAAGACTCTACCAGTTTCAACACTACATTCACTATTAAACATATACAACAACTGCCTATCGGGGATGCAAATTCCTAGCAGCTGGAAAGATCATTTGATATACCCCATACTTAAAACAAATAAAGACCCAAACAACCCCAACAACTATAGACCTCTGATTCTAAGCTCGCGCGTAGGGAAAACACTAGAGATTTTGATCAAAAATAAATTAGAGTGGGAACTCGAAAGTAAGATAACTTTTAACCACCTGCAGACAGGATTCAGAAAAGCATACTCTGCCCAAGACAACCTCGCTTTCATAGTTTCAAACATACAATTGGCTATTTCACAAAAAGAAACCACGTTAGCAGTCTTCCTAGACATCAAATCAGCATACGACAACGTAAACATTTTTCTATTATACGTAACACTAATAAAACTTGGAATACCTAAACAAATTTGTAATCTAATTTTTAATTTACTGAATAACAAAACAGTATATAGGTACAATAGACAATGAAAACAATATACATGGTCCAAAGGTCACCTCACTAGGTCTTCCTCAGGGGTCCCCTCTAAGCCCACTACTGTTTAACATATACATATATAAATAAATTATATTCAATATTACCACAACACACACATTTACTCAGTTATGCAGACGATATGGCGCTGATGATCAACGGTAACAAAATAGACAAAATGGCGGTAACATTAAACCAGTATCTGGAAAGAGTAAACGTTTGGATGAAAAGCCACAACTTTGAAATATCAGTGGAAAAAAATTCAGCGATATGGTTTACGGAAGGTAACCGAATGCGGTCCACACCAATAATTAAAATTAACAATGAAAATATAGAGCTCAAAAACCAAACGAAATACTTAGGGGTCATACTATATAAAAATTTAAAATGGAACGCATAGATAGACAATATGATAAATAAAGCTAATAGGGTAATAAAACTTTTAAAAATTTTTGGGAAGGTTTCCTGGGGTGCCGACCCTGCAACCCTACACATGGCGTATAATGGACTAGTTAAATCCCATCTGGATTATGGTAGCATATTATTGAATTCCTACAATCAAAATGACCTCAATAAACTCCAGAAGACTTCATTTCAAGGGCTCAGGATCATAACGGGTACCATGAAGTCAACACCAACTAACACGTTACTAGCAGAAACCGCGGAAATGGACCACAGGCGGGTCTGGTTATGCACTAAATTCCTAGCGAAAAAAACTAGAATTCAATCCCACCCCTTAATCAGAATATTAAAAAAACTAAAAAATCAATATGAGTCAGGTCATGATTGTTGGAGAAATAGAGCGCCCACCATCACCATAGAAGCCCTTAACATTTTGGAGGAATACATTCCACTAATCCATTCGGGACGAGCCCTCCCGTGCTTCGAGTTTGATGATACTACTCAAACTCGGACAGTGAAAGTCGTCCCTCTTAACATAAACAAAAAAGATCATAATATCGAGTTGCAATTTCTACAAATTATGGAACAGTTCAGAGACTACTTAAACATCTGCGCGGCGGAAGCAGCAGCGATTAACAAAGCATGCAACATAGTCATAGAAAAGAAAATCCAGAAAAGAATAATATTAACAGACTCGCAAAGTGCTATAGCATAAATAGCAATCTCAACAAGAAAGCTAATTCACGAAGCTGCAGAAAAAGGATACAATATTGAACTGGCTTGGATCCCAGGACACTCCAACATCAGAGGAAATGACACGACACACTCCCTAGCTAACTTAGGAAAACAACTCAGAATCCCACAAGATACGAAACTTACCATACCCAATATACTAACTAAGGCCAAAACAAATAGGCAAAAGGATAAATTCACAACAATGTGGAAACGAACATTCATCAACAAAGGCAGGTGGTATAAGAATTCCCGTCAAAACAATTTTACTATAAAATACCGTATATAAGCCGAAGACATCTAACAGCCATAATCAGAATGAGAACGGGACATGCAAGATATAAAGCTCACATGTTCAAAATAGGAATGGAGATGACCCTTTCTGTGATTGTGGACAATATGCAGATTTAAATCATATACTATTTGAATGCCCAATAAATCAAATATTAGGTTTTAATTTCTACACGAGAATTCGAGACAATACAGTGACTCGTACATAGCCGAGAGCCAGACAAAGTACAGTCACAACAAACGAGCTGGCGGATTGTACACGTGTACAGAAGCCACAAGGAATAAAGAAGAAGAAGAAGAAGACTGTTGGAGTAATGGTTTGGGAGCCTATGATAGCCGATCACCGCTCCTATTTGTTCAAGGCAATATGACTGCTGCGTGTAATGTTGATGATGTCCTACAGACCACTTCACTGCCGTACCTAGAGGGCCGTCCACACGTCCTTTTTCAGCAAGACACGTCGCCATATTGCTCGTCGTACTACGGACTTTCTTCAAGAAGCAGGCGTTAATGTTCAGCCGTGGCTACCTCGTTGACCGGATTTAAATCCTATCGAACATGTGTGGGATATGATGGGGAGGATACTGTCCACCTTGCACCATCTGCCACAGACTATGGCACAGCTAACAACGAAGTTCGAGTTGCTTGGAATCAGGTGTCACAACAAGACGTCGATCATCGCATTTTGTTGATGCCTAAACGTATACAGGGACGTATTCAGCTGCGGGGCGCCCAACACATTATTAATTGTTTTTCTTAATAAATAAAATACAGGTAAACTCACTCACAATTTTAAATAAATTAGAGTACTCAATCTAATCCATTAAATAAATTTAATATAGCGATTGCGGTTTGATTTAATTAAACTACTTTTTTAGATTTAAGTAAACTTTTTTGGAAATCGGAGTTCAAACTAATTAAACTTGTTAGCTGTTACATAGTATTTTGAAATTTTTAGTTGACGCAATTAAATCTTAATTGGTATAATAACATTATTTCTCAGAGCATGGTGATCACTCGTGACTATACTGTGCTTAGCATAGGTTAGTTTTCTTCAATGTGTTTTTCTTCACTTTGTCACGTGATCAAACAGGACAAGTAAAATCAGAGCTGCATGCTTTAATGGCATCCTTTTCGATGTTGAACGGTGAAAATATGTATTTTTAACCGAAGCAATTACACAAAAAATAAATCGGCACACCTCGTCAGCGTCACTACGGGAGAAATAACAATTAGCACTTCAATGTAGTCCTTACTCTATTTATATTCCGTGGAACGGAATTCGTATTGTAGGGCCTGCTCCTGATGTTCAGTCAATTTCTTTCGTTGCTATTAATATGGATCTTAAAAAAGCAAACGATTTCTTAAACTCCACGGCAGTGACGCCAATGGGCCAAAGCGCGTCAAACGAGGTCCGTCGTCGTCACGTTTTTTGGTTAGATTGCATGAAAATCCATGATTGGAGCATGTATAGATTTACGTTATCACAGTCATGCTCCGAGCTTGTCGTTTCTTTGTCTTTGCTTAATAAAACACGTGCATGTTCAAAAATGTCTCGATTAACGTTTAGTGACCACGTTTGTTGTGACGTAAAATAGTCATAAGCGTGATATTGACCAGAGAGTATTTTTGGAAGACGTTTCATCCCCCAGGTATTTAACTTGTTTCAATACATCATAACGTATTTTATCACAGATAAATAGAAAATTGTCATTATTAATCTGTTCGTGGTGGTCAAAACGTCAGAAAAATATAATTTCACCATATGTGTGTTCATTTGGACAGAGAAACATGAAGATCAATTAAAACTTGTCACTAGTCAGAAAAATAGATACCGTTACCCTCAGAAACAATTATGTTTTGTTCCATGAGGTACACAATTAGGTCATGCTCATATCGATCTATAGAGGACTTATTTTACCACAACAAAATACTCTGGAGTCAACTTGCGATACTTTGATAGTCGATCTAAATTCATATGAAATATATATCTCTTTAGATTAAATTGAGAAACCTTCCAGATATTTTTCCATCAGTTTTACTGACATATTTAGATTTTAAAGGTGGTAGTATTGTTGGAATATTAGATTAATAGTAATACACATATAAACAAAATAATATCAAGTTGCCTTCGTAAACAAAAGTGGCCACTCCAACTAATTCGATAGTATAATTTGGTTAAATATTAAGTTGTAATTTATGATAACTAGTTAGTGTTCTAGTAAATTTCTTCATAAAAAAAAATCCGATAAATATTATGTGCCAAACCTTT